ATTGCCTCTTGTCCTGTCCCTGGTCACTACTGAAAAGAGCCTGGCTCTGTTGTCTTTACAGACTCCTTTCAGGTATTTATATACATTGATAATATTCCCCCTGAGCTTTCATACAGTCCTTTTTCTACTTATATTCAACAAAGTATTTTTCTCCATAGGAGTCCCTGCTCTTAGAATTCAGTCTATCCCGAAGTCTCAAGAGGTCTTTCTCAATGTCATCTGAATTAGCTACTCCTGCCTTAAAGAAACCATGCTCAACAATGCTTACTTTCACTCCAAAATGCTGCATCTCTATCCTAGAAGAAGATCACCCAATAATGGCATAACCGTTAAGCAGAGGTAAGTTGAAAGTCTGTCACATAAATGAATTTTTCAGACTTTTATTGCTGCCTTCAAATATCAGTAATTTTGAGATGTTCAGATTAGCTTCATAGCAGTCTACTTGTCCTCTAAAAGCACAGCAGGCAATTAACTTTGAGGAAAAAAAGCAGTGTCAGGTAGATTGACAGCTTTCTGTGGGGTTTATGTTGGACTGGTGCAAAGGATGCAGCAGCCAGCTGCATCTTAGTCAGGTATTATCAAACTGAAGGTTTTGACTATTTCAAATGCTACATCATTTAGCTTCCATCAGGAACAGATTATTAAAATGTGTGGGAAAAAGCAAAAGTGAGCACAAATTTTCAATTGGATTAGAACTTTATTCTCCACTATATAGTTAAATGGCTGTGGTTAAGTGATTAAATGTTAGTGCAATAAAGGTTAGTGTGTCTTCTGGGAGCGTGGTTCCCTCTATGTAGTTTTGAATTGTAGTGCAGCTCCTTTGGGATGAAAATGGCCACTTTGTCTTGCTGGGCAGTTTAAGATACCCAGGCAGCTGTGTTCCAAAGCGTGCAAAGGAATGCACCATGTGTACATTAGCCGTTAGGTTATATTCTGTTTCCTTGGGGCATATACTTTCTTCATATAAGCGTTCATAATAGTTTGCAACCAACTTTCCTAGTCCTTGTGAAGACTTGACTTGCTGGGCTAGGCCTTGGCCTTCTCAAGGCAATACAACACAACTGGCTTCAGTGAAGGGTACTCAGCCTAATATTCTGAAGTTACAAGCACCTTTGGTAATGTGGTTGCTGCCTGGAATTGCCCAGCTCAGATTGCTGTGGAGCATTAGAGCAAAATAAAATGGGTTATAAATGGGCAAGTACAACTTGCCTAGGAAAGTCTGGGTGTCGGACCAGGCTATACTGTTGATTTACTTTTCACATACGCAGCCTGAAAGCTGCATGCTAGCCATTTGTCCAGGATATGAAAACTTTTCCCGGTGCAGTTTCCTGCTGGGGCTGTTCATAGTACTGGAGCTTGAAATCCCAAACAAGTGATCAACATGCTCTTGTTTTCCTTTCTCCCTTTAGGCAAGGTTTCCAGAGAGAAAATGAGAGGGGCAAACTTACAGTCACCCTTCTGCAGCACATCTGGAATCTGATCTTGGATTCATGGATGTATTTCTACCTACTCACTGTAAGATGTTAGAGAAAACTTCCATGTTCCATTTTGACAGGCTGTAGCCACCTCCTACAAAAGCCATTAGGCCTTTGCCATTAATTAGATTCACTATTCCCTCAGCTTTTTTCAGAAATGGCAGGAGCTTGAGCATGATTTCAGTCAATCCCAGAAGACTAGCATCCGGCACTGAGTGGAGGTTTTTAATTCTCAGCAGGTCAGTGGATGCTACAGGTGCTATTCCTTAAGCATTGCTCACCAAGCCAAAAAACTACAAGAGGATTACAAAACCATGTGTTTCAGTATGTGACAATATCTTACCACAGAGTTTCATATGTAGAATTGGGAATGAAGTACACGGTTTGCACAAACCTGTGAGATGAAAACAGTTGTCTGGCATTTGCTTCTAAGGTCTACTCTGTACACCTGGCAAAATTTGCTAAAGGCTTTAGGCAATGACCCTAAAAGAACACTGGTAAAGTATTAAAAGAAAACTAGTACAGTTGGAGATAGGGGCCACCATACTGAGCTTTATTATCAAGATCTGCTCAAGTATGTGGCTCCTAATATACACCTACATGCTTGTGAAAATCAAATAGTCTACATAAAAGTGGAGAGACTGATTTTTCGGGGTTGGGGTCTAAAGGTCTAAACTAGACATGCGGAATTAGTGCTTTTAATAATATTAACTTAACCCTCTGTATTGATAATAATACTTTACTGCCTTATAAATTACTTGAGGAACTTTATCTAAATAGTGACACTTCCAACAGTTTGCTGAGGACAGCCTGTGCCTGAAGGGAGAGGCCGAAAGTCCAGCACGCAGCCTCCATAAAGAGTTCCTCAGACCGAGGTGACAGCATTAGCAGTGGTTACCCTGGCTGAGAACGTGTGCCTTTCCACAAGCTGGAAGCAGGGACCTGCAGGAGGAGGTAAGCACTATTAATTATATTGTCCTTGCTGTCAATCACTGAATTCGAGAATGATCTGAACTGTCATGATGAGGCCAACAGTGTTTTACAAGCTTTGAGGAAAAAGTCCTCCTGGGAGAAGATATGTGTTTTGCTGGTTTAGCTAGTTAATTAATTAACAAGCCTATTGATTATTTGGTATACATGTGTGTTACAGCTGGTAGTTGCAGTGCTGTGACCCCTTGTCAGCCCTTAAGAATGTCTAGTCAGTTATCAGTGCTGAGAAAGAAACACGTATTCCCACAGCTGAATGTATTTATCATGCAGATCTTTTTATCACCCCTTGCCAAAACGACGCTTAAGTCTTGTTTTTTAACGCCACTTGAGTATACAAGGTCAAACTCTCTTAGACAAGTGCTCTGAGGTGTACGACAGCAGTAGTGAGAGGTGCCTGTTCAACAGCTCTACTGGCTGTAACAGCAGGTGTTTAACTGTTACAGTCAATGCAGTCAGTTGGACTTACTCAGCCAAACAATACCACTCTTCTGCTTACTGGAGGAGGGCTGAAGAAGCCCTGCACCAGACATTTTTAATTGGGTGGGCTGGTTTTACTGTAACGAAAGTTCTTTCTGGTACCATTAGCAACTCCGCCCCACTGAGATTCTTCAACGGCACCATAAAGAGTCTGACGAACACACCTGGGAAGGTCTGGTGTTAATAGACCCGAGCAACTAGAGTTTTAGGCACCCTGTTGGTGCAAGTCCAAACGCATTGCTGGAGAGAATCTCTTTGAACTGAGATGTGAATGTGTTTCATCAGTGAGATGAAAAATTTTTCTGTGGAGAGGCACCAGGACTTTTTAGCCAGACCAGATTTGGTGATATTGAATTATTTTTCTGGGAAATCACATTGTCACTTACACTTGCCAGCCGTCTCTTCGGTCACAAACACCACAGCCCTGGAAGTGTGGTGGAGCCAGCTAAGTTCAGGTTTGCTGCATGCAGGGAGAGTGAGGAGTGGGACGGTAGCTCTTGGCCTCCTTTTTCTGTGGCCCGTGTAGCAGTGAGACAAAATCCCCTTTTGTCAGGACATTTAACCAGTAAGTTTCCAAGTCCTGTGTCACAGCCTGTTATGAAGACATGCTTTCCACTCAGGCTTCTCACTCTGTGACTGTGTCTGATGAGCCAGTAAATGGTAAGAGAAACTATGAAAGCCAGAATTGCTATGTGCAGTGAGTCTGAAAATGAGAGCTGCAAGCAAACAAGTTAACTATCTAGAAATGTAATGAACCAAATGTGCTCAGCCAGCCCCCTGGCTTCCTCAGACACCATTCCCGTAAGGGTCTTTGTTTCTGTTTGCAGCCCTTCCAGCTCACTGTAAGTTAGGGGAGAGCAGGGGTGGAAGCTTTGGCACAATGTGATTGGGATCCATGAATAATACGTGCCTTGGCAAAACCTTCCTTATTCTCTTTTTCAGCAGTTTTCCACTGTTTTCAAGCTTTGCTGACCAGTGTTTCTAGTCAGCCCTGTCCTTTCAGGACGTTTCAGATGAAAGGAATTACTGCTTCAGTTCTCACAATAGCATCTGGGGTTTTTTTGTGGACACTGGTGATTATTTGTGCTAATACTGGAGAGAGGAATTCCAATGGGAAGGATGATGATTCTCTTTGACCGCATGTGTGATGCCACCCAGGCTACTCTACTAATCAGTATCATGGAAGGAGAGTGACCCCAAGAACAACCAGAAAAGTGTAAGCTGTAGTGGTGGGTCTGATGACTAATCTGTTGTGTGACTTGTGTTGTGTGATGGTGAGTGATCTGCTCTTTGCTCCTCAGACAAGGTAGACTTTGGGGCAGTGCCTGAGTCTTCTGTCTCCTTCCTCATTGCCTGTTAGGCACTGACACACAGCACAATAGAATATATTGTATAGGAAGTGGGGAAATGCATGGAGCTGTTACCCCCCAAAAAACCCTAAAACACTGAGAGAACATGGGTTTCCTAACTCTGGTGGGGAGAATACTGCTTGCTTATTACAAGAAAAAATATGTTAAATGTCGAATACAGTTCTTGCCATCTAAAATCTTTATGATTGATTACTGGTTTTCTGCTTGTATTTTTAATTTGTGCAAGAATTCAACTGAAATAATTCCTTAAAACCTAGTTTTATGGGAAGGCTGGTAAACATTTTCCAGACATCCTGTTAAAGAGAAACTTTTTTACCGGAGCTAAGCAGTCACCTAGGCTCTAGTTACCAACATACATGTAGAGGTGCAGACATCTGGCCTTTAAAAATGTGATTGTATTTGAAAAATGAAGTGATCCATTAAAAAAACGAATTTGTGATTATTTTTGCATCCCAAAAGTACTCAAAGAGGAAGGGGGCTTTCTCCTCCAACTCCACAGATGCCTGAAGCATTCATTTGGCTGACTTTGTGTAAGGTAGCATCCTTGCTACCTTAAGACATGAATATTAAAGGAAGCCCAATGTATTAGGCCTGGTTGCTAGAGCCCATCTGGTGTTCTTGTTCCTACTGAGTTCAAGGAGGCATTTGGATTTATTCTGATTATAAATTTTGCTGTCACCTCATCAAGTAGGAATGGAAGGAATCTCAGAATCTGATAGTGAATGAATGTTGGACTCTCATTAAATAATTAAATCAGTCACAGCTGATAAATGATTCATTGCCACTTGATGATCTTACTTTACATAGTTGGGTGCCTCAGTAGCCATGATATTGACGTCTGAACTATCGGTTGATGCTCTCTGACTTTAAAATGTTAAGCAAGTATATACAGATAAGAGTTTGCTTCTCCTTCCACTGCAGTCTACAGGGAGGCTCCCACTGCATTTTTGGGGTGTTAGGTTGGTCCCTGGGCTGCACTGGTTATTTTAGCAGCAGCCCATCTCGTCATTTTGAGGCCGATGTAATCAGCCTTCTAGTTAAGGTACTTCGCTTACATACTTCGTGCTTTTTTTTTTTTTTCCCCCCTGTGAATGTCCCTGTTAAGCCTGTCAAGGATTGCAGTGTTCCTGAATGTATGCACTTTGGAATCATCTTTGTAATGTTTCACTGAGTTGGTGACATTTATTTTCGGAGAGGACTCACACAGCATGTGCTCTGACCAAGTGCCGTTAAAACTGTGTGAAAGAGCTCAGGTTGATTGAGGCTTCTGTGCTGTAAAATGAAGTCTGCAAACAGGATGTTGCAGCAGCTGACCATAGATACCCCCAGTTCATTTGCAACGATATGCTAGGCAGTGACATTTCCTCTGACTGTTGATTTAGAATTTGGAGCTGAGCTAGACACAGAGAGAGGAGTTGCTACCAGCAGGCTCTTGTAACCCCATGCCAATAAATCTCAGCAAGCTACTCAGCAAGGTAGTGCTGCGAGAGATCAGTTTAGGACTCAATTCACCTTTTTCCCAAAACAAAACTAAATTAAATAAATAGAGATTTGGAGAAAAGATTAATCTCATCAGAAATAGGAGCTGTAAATCACACTTTCCTTCCTTGCCTGTGCTGAAGGGAGGAAGTAGTGGGCAGTGAGCTTGCACTATTGGAAAGCAGGTTAAATTTGAAACGGGGCTCTGTGGAGAAGTCCTGGAGTGTCTGGCCAGGATGCCTACTTGGGTCCTGTATGAGGAACACCTGGGACTGCTCTGGTTAGTGTTAGTCCCTGTGTTTAGGGAGCAGTAATTGGCACAGGAGCGCTGTAGGACGAGGGACTCTAGGGGTGACAGCTAGGAGGGCAGCATTGTGTGGAGCCTCTGCTGGTCCTCTCTCCCTTACCAGCCCTGGGCCTGTGTCCCAAAGTCTGTAATCTCTAACCACCTATTTCTCCACAAGTACCAGTGCTCCTTCTCCCATAACACATGGACAGTTGGTGCTGAGCACCATGGTGGGCTTTGCTCTGGCAGAGCCTTCTGCTGGTATTTATTCTGCTAGAAGGTGTCATTGCTGCTGGAAGGATTCTGGGCTCAGAATCAAAGGAATACACTCAGATAAAGATTTCTTCCAAGAAAATAGTTAAGTTCTGTGAATGTACAGTGTTATGCAAAATACTTGTTTGATAATCGTGGAGCACTAAAAATGCCACTTGTCTTCCAGGGGTATATTGATTTTGAAATAGCTGCCTGCATTTGCAATGAATGTGTTTCTGGAGAAAATGTCAGCATTTCAAGAGTATTGATATATCTTCATAATTACTGAATTCTGATTACTAATGTAGCCAGTAAACAGCTAGACAAATTCTACTTTTCCATTAAATTTGATATTTCCATTGATATTTGCCTGTCAAATTGAGAACTCTTGGGGTAGAGCTTGGCTTCTTAGACAAGTGCCATTATAAAAGCAATTGATTTTAGAGAAAAGCAGCATGACTACACCGAGAGCCTTTTTAAGATCCTTAGATGACTGCAAAATACAGCATCTCTCTGCTTCTGTGCACTAAGGGAAATGGAAGCACATAGACAGTATTGAAGGGGGGTGTTACTGTTTCATTCCCACAGCAAGTTCGCTTTGGTAGTCATGCCAGAGAACTTCAGGTTGGGGTGAGGACTGGGATCTGCATGTGCTTCAGATTGCTTCATCCACCACTGTGCTGGCAGTGCAAACCTCTGAAAGCCAGTGCTCTGCCATGGGTTAGAGTGACCTGCCAGGCCTGCTGAGGAAGAACTGCCAGGGGGAACTCTGGGGACTGGGGCTCTTCAGAAACAGCACTTACATAGTGCTCAGTGGAAGGTTTAGATGTATCAGTGCTCTGGCAGATCACCCAACAGCTCTCCAGCATCTAGGAAGTACAAACTTCAATAATTGGTCATCCTGCCAGAGCTACAAACCCCCTGGTCTTCAATTAACAAATTGAACAAATATGAGGGCACAGACACATCACATCTCCCACTCTTGGGTGTGTAAAAATGTCAGTGTCAGTGTGATAATTCAGTTTGGTGGGCAACAGATAACTTAAGATCTTCACTAATATATCCCCTTAAAAGAAATCTCCAAACATTCCTACAGAGCGTTTTACAGGGAGATGAATGTAGTCTAGTACAATGGGGACTGATTTCTCAGCATGATTGTATGGCTTGCACTTCAGATTTTTACTGCAGCATTGGTAAAAGACCCAGGAAAATAAAACCCTGTAAAATCTCAGATGACTGACCCAGTAATTTCAAATAAAGGAGTAGAGAAAGATTCCATATGTTGGGAAGAACATTTCTGAGTTAGTGTTTTATTCAGACCCTGTGGGTGCTTAGATAAGCAAGAATTGTTAAAATCACTCTAGAAAGGAAGGCCTGCATGTTCTTCTGTCTGTGCACTCAGAAACAAGCGCTTCATTCTTTCTCTTAGCTATTCTGCAAGTCCATGTAATGGGTACTGCTAACAATGAACACAAGTTCTGGTTTTGTGCTGGTACTCACATTCTGGGGAGACACCTGCAAGCTCCAGGTACTCATAAGTTGCCTTTGCCAGTTATTTCCAGCGTCACAACATGGGAACTGCCCAAGTCAGACTCATAAGCTTGTGCACCAAGACCCGCGTGGTGATAGTTTCCAGAAAAACCTCACTGTACATTCTGTGTCTGGCAGCCGTGCCTGCTGCGCCTGCCTAGTCCTGCCTGGCCTCATTTAAGTGACAGGCACTACAGCGTGGTTGACATGACCTCAAACCAGCACTCCACCAACGAGCAAAGCCCATCACAAGGGAGCATTTCTCTGGCAGTGTCAGGTCAGGAGTCCTGCTATTGTACGTAGCAGTCCTTTGTCACACAAATGTTGGAAAGAAAAACATCCAAGGAGTTTATCTTTCTCTACTCCAGATTTTTTTTTCCTCAGCAAACTGCTTTTGAACTGTAGAAAGTAATTTCAGAAAGCTGAATAGGTCCTGCTTAGCACTGCAGAAAACATGGAAATGGGGACTTTTTCCAGTAAATTCCTTTTCTCACAGAGGATCCTCTGATTTGCTCAGAGCACAGCTTGAGCTTAACAGAAGAGAAACAACGTAAGCAAAATGTGAGCTCCATGTGTAGCTTCCCGTTAGAGAGCTTGGCATGAGACTGTCTTTCATCTGCAGAAAGCAGCACTTGACTGTGATTTCCCTTTGACTCCTTAGGGGTACGTGGTGATGAAAGTCCTGACTCTAGAAAGGATGTGGAAAAATTACCCTGCTTGAAGCATAACACTGGGAAAGGAAATTTGTTTCTCAAGTGAAAAGCAAGACGCTAACATTAGTCCTGCTTGAAAAGTGGAGTTTTTGAAGCACACCTTTGTGTGCTGGCTCTAACAGGTTATGTGAAGCCAGATCCCATGGGTGCAGTCTCCAAAGATGTTCTGACCTTGTGGAAGTCATGGGTCTTCTCCCGAATAAATCCTTTCTAGTCCCTGAAAACGTATGTCTAAATAGTCACCTGCCCCATACAGTCTTGTGAGCGGGACAGGTTTTGATAACCATAGAGCACACTGTGATTTGCTTATTTCCAAGTCACTAACTTTTGTTGCTGCATTTGAGTAAACAAGGCATCTGGTTCCAGGAGAGAAAATGCCAGCAGAATCTGGCCCTCCATCCAGTGAGGAGTTAATACACTGAGCAACTGATATTCTTCCTGCATTTCTTATTTAAATAATATGTTTACAGCTAGTATTCCCTGTCCCAAATCCTGTTTGCATTTCCCTTTACATGTTAACCTTTGCAGTGCTAGGATCTTGCAGCAGTGGACAGCATACTTGTGGTCTGACAGTGGCTGAATTAAACCAGCCACGCTGTAATTTCTAAAGATCAGAGTAGGTGGTGTCACTTTATGCTATCTTTGTTTCCCTAATCACTTTTGGCTGAGTCATCTTGGAGGGTGGGGGAATAAAAGAAGCTTTAGCTTCTAGAATGGTGCTGTGTGAAATGATAGCAGGGTTGACTGCCAAATTCACAGGACAAGATTCACGTCCCTAGGGCCCGATGCTGCCTGCTCTGCAGGAGCCAAGAATTTGACTCACTGGGGTGGACCAATCTATTGACTGGAAAGCTAACAGCTCATGCAGACTGGGCCAGGGAAGCTACTAGCTCACCAGACAGCCACACAGCAGCCTTTGGATTACATGGTAAGTAAAGAAAACTTGGTTTTCTGTCACTTTTACTGACAGAAACTTGTTTTTAAAATAAAATCTACTACAGCGATGCTGTCAATACCTCTGTAAGGGTAGCTAGCTGAGAGATATTCACTTCAAACCTGCTCTAGAAGGAATCTTTCAGATAACGGAGATAGAAATCAAATGACCTCACTAAACCTAACCATAAGCTGTACTGGGAAGAGTAGAGTTGATGTTTTACAGGCTCCGTAGAAACAAAATTGAAACCAGCACTATTTGGATGGCTTCTGGATAACTTTGTTCTTTAGCCCGGTCGTGTCACAGTGAATTCACCAGCATGAGGAAAGCATTTTTCATCGCTGAGTAGTTTCCATGGCAGTGGGAAATGGCTTCCTGAGCAACGCGCAGTTGCAGACGCTCTGCAGTTCTCAAGCACTTTGCCATGATTAATTCCAGTGGAGCTGGTCTTAACAGGCACTTGTGTCAGGAATTGAACAAGAGCAGCACCTCTCCACAGGAATTACTCAGCATCTCACAAAAAACAAGGCTACTGTTTTTATGCCAAGAAATAGCTCCCAGACTTGAAGTCTTGCAAGCTCAGAATTTTTTTTTTTAATAAACTCCTCTTTCCACCTTAGCTCTTCACTACCTTAATTGCAGGTATCGGGCCCTGTAATTGGATGCACAGTCTACGTTTGTAGCTATGGATCCGTTACAAAAGGGGGGGTACAGCTGGACTTTGGAGATCCTCAAGATTTAGCTTGCTGACCAGGAAGATGCATCACATCTGCCTTGCGAAGTCCTGTGAGTAGGAAGGGGTGTGAATCCCAACCAGCTCAACATCCTAGGCACTTCATTTTCCCCTCTCTCCAGTTAGGACTGTACCAAGGAAACACAACCACAGTTTCCATGGCCTCAAAACTGAATAGGGGTGACTGATAAATAAAGCAGTATCACAGAGAGGTTTTCTGTTCTCTTCCCTAGTTTATATTGCAAGAGCTCAATTCTCCCAGATGAAAGCCCTCTTCCCATTCCCTCCTCTGCCTGAGATGCTCTTCCTGCTGTAGGGACTTAAAGCCACATTCCCGTTTTTCCTGGGATATTTCTGTCTTACAGGTCTTTGTGGAATCTTCAAGGGTTCTCAAACCTTACATATGAAGGAACTGAAAAATCACAGTCATTTCTGAAAGTTTAATAGTTGTTTTATTATTTCTGGTTTACATGTTTAAAATGAAATAAGATAATGATTTTTTTAATAGTAGCAGGTATTAGAGAAATAGATGGACTCGCTTTCAATGTGAGAAATACACATGTATTTCATGTAGAGTTTTTATCATGCCGTTATAAAGGCCCTATCTTACAGAATCAGCCTTGTCTGTGATGGGGGATATATTGGCAAAGATTTACTTTGCATGGGAAAATGCAAGCTCTACTCTGTTCCACAGCAGTAGGAAGTCTTGTATAACTGCTGGCATTCTTGAGAGGGGATTCCAAAACAACTTAGCATCCTTCCCAACAATGTAATGGGCACGTGGATGGAGGCTTGTCAGGGCATGCTCCATGCACTGAACAACTGGCGAAATGTCCATGTTAAGACAGATGTTGGAGAGCTTTTGTTTCTTTGCTGCATCTGTAAAGCTCAAAAAAGAAAGATCATTTAGTGACAGCCAGGCAAGGGGACTTTTAACTCTCCCTCCCAACCCCTCCCACCCCGATCTGTGAAATTTCACTAAGGAATTGGTTTCTCCCTACACAAGAACACAGAGCAGTTTCTGAGGACCCAGTCCCCATCCATAATGACCTTGTGGTATAGTTGAC